AGGATTTAGCTAGGTACTAAATATATAACACTACTGCTGAATTGTCTTGTTATAGAGGCGAACAGCGCAATGAAGGAACGAGTTTCTAAGTCTCTTAGTCCTAGCCTGATTAAATCGCTTTTGCCGGCCGCCCAACATCCAGCCGGCCCCCTTGGGTGGCGGACTATGTAGGGAGCCCCCCGGAGCCCCCCGGAGCTTGGGTTACATAGGCTATCTTAGTCCGGGCTTTAGGTATACTGATTGTGCCAGAGTTAGACAAGACGTACAGAAGAACTATAACTGAATCATCGTTATATACCATGCTGCTTAGTAGCCTCCTTCGCAGTCTTGTTGGGCGTCGGCGTTATTTTTTCTCTGAGCGACGCGAGTAATATGCCGCCGCGAGGGACGATTTGCTGCCGAGGGGGTTTTTGCCACGGAGTGAAGGTTTCGCGCTTGGACCTTCTCTCCGTGGCAAAAACTCCCTCGGCAGCAAATCGTCCCTCGCGGCGGCATGTTACTCGCGTCGCTCAGAAAAAAAATAATGCCGACGCCCAACAAGACTGCGAAGGAGGCTAGCTACTTAGTAACATATTGGAACTAACCTGCTGCGTCATACACCGGATTCAAATGCACGTGTTTGTGGTCTTGCATTTGTGGTAGATTGTCGTACCCATCTGCCCCTCTTCCATGGCTCTGTCCGGAGTGCTGAGGCGGTTGCCCCGGAGACCGTCCGGAGTGCTGAGACGGTTGCCCCGGAGACCGTCCGGAGTGCTGAGGCGGTTGCCCCGAAGACCGTCCGGAGTGCTGAGGCGGTTGCCCCGGAGACCGTCCGGAGTACTGAGGCGGTTGCCCCGGAGACCGTCCGGAGTGCTGAGGCGGTTGCCCCCGAGGATATCCGTAGTAGTGAGGCGGTTGCCCCGGAGACCGTCCGGATCCGGAGCGACGGGGCGGTGGAGTCGGAGGCTGTTCTGAGCGATGAGGCGGCACCTCCGGAGCCTGCCCGTCGAGATCTCGGGGAGGCGAGCCAGTTTCGCCGTGGTTGCTGTGGTCTTCGTCCTGCATTTCTGCGACATCGTCGACAGGGAGTGGAGGCAGCGGTCGGTTCTGTATCCCTGCCGGGCGCGTGGATTTCCGCGGGACAGCCACGCTTGCAGGTGCCCCGCCGGGTTCTGCTGAACCATCTGACCGAGAAGCAGCCATCTCGGGCCGCGCCACACCTGGTACTGATCCCCGCTCGGCTCCACACGAAAGCACCGATTACACTTTAATTGTCTGGAGATTTGGTATTTTACAATTATGTAACAGCCGCTCAAAATATACTTCGGAATTTTCTCATTCACAGTGCGATATGAGCGCTTCATGCATATGAAACAGCTCCGTGTGGTGCTACAGTACGCGCTAAATGCATAACGTTACTGTGGCAAAATAACTGATAGCGTGAAATAAGAGGATTTTTCATCACTTTGCCAATACATTTTTTTTCAATCTTTTTTTAGGGATGTGGACAGGTGTTCACAAAACAAAACAAAGACAAATGTTCAATTTCGGGCCTCCTAGCGGCTTTCTATGGTACTGCAACGAAAACCTAGTTCTTTTTAGTGGCAGTAGCTACATTTTGGGCTGGGAGATGAATTTATTGGCTTGGGCCCTCTAGCAGATTTCCTTTGAATTGCAAGCTTGGATTTTAATTCAAAACGGGATACATTCAAGAAGGGATAATAGATTTTCATGTTTTTATGTTCTGGGTAACTTGGATGAGAATGAACTTGATCTTATACAATATGTAATAAAATGAAATATACATACGTACATCTAGAGTTTATATAAGCAGTTTTACCTTCATTCAGAAAGTTAATATTTATTTCAACAAATTAAAGACCCCATCCTGCCACATGTGATGCCACATATGCTTTAATTGCTTATATATTTGTCATCTTTAAACTGATAAATAACGTTAGTACATCTATTGTAAGTGGTAAATACGATACTTGTACAAAAAAACTTTTATTAGAATATTAGACTTTGTTATTACATTTTCAAATTAGAAAACTAGAGGTCGGAGATCTCATGCCTTCCTCAGAGGATATTGTTCTAGATAAACGTTTTTTTAATACTAGAAATCAATTTGGTCTAGAGTACAAAAGAATCTCTGTACTCCTTCTTTTCCTTTTTTTATTCTACAGAACACCCCATAAGGGTTTGCCACAGATTTACAGACGCACTGTCACCGTTTTAGGCCCCCCTAAGTTATTTGATTTTGGACTGTTACTGGAAAAGAATGTTACCAAAAATTCTGCTTCTGTATTATGATCAGAGTGTCACGACAGTCGCAAAATGTAATGAGAAGATGTGGTGAAAGGAAAGAATAAGAACAGGGGGAGATTTATTGCTGTTTTCGTTTGTTGTTACACTATGTTCTTTTATTCAATTCGTGTCCTAACTCCTAACCTTTGTATTTCCACAGTTAGTATGTTCCAAATCTATGCATCTTAATCATTTTTTTTCAGCCGTTCATGTATTTTATGACGCTTTTGCAATAAATTTAAGGTCTCCAGGGGACATCATCCATAAAAATTACTTGGTCTGGCCATGGACGTCGAATAATTCCTTCAAGAGTTATTCCGCTAAATCCGCAGTCACCCACAATCCGGCGAGACAATTTCATAGTCCTTCTGACGAAGACAAAAATACAGAAACTCATGATTAGCCCCACTCGATTGTAACACATGCGGTATTATCTAATACATGTTGACAGCCATTAACTCACAGCTAGCTACACAAGGTAATAAGTTTCTGTCATACTCGTATTACTTCCCTGAGATTTTGCACCTTTTTTCAATCATTAAGAAGTACAAATTCAGCACTGTTGCGTACAATAAAATAACATGTATAAAGTTACAATGTTTGCCCCCTTTTGGCAGATTTAGTAATTTCCCGTCTGACTTTCGTATTTCGACTCAAATTGTAATCTAAGGCAAAAGAGTGCTATACTAAACAACTACTTACTATATAAGGCATCAGACCAGCACGTCGGCAAAACGTACTGCACCAGCACGAAACTCGAAATTTTTCACGGTTTTCGTTGGAATTTTGGTCAACGTTGCATCAAAATTTTGCCTGTTGTAGAGGATATTTTGTTCGACATAACATTTGGAAACTACAGACGGAGTGTTATCCTTATATGCGCGAATACGACCTTATATGAGATATTCTGCCGAAGTGCTATGTACAATACATTACGGGTTTCGCGCAGATGCAGTACATTCTGCCAACATGCTCCTCGGACCAAATCTAGCTCTGTGTGGAGCCTCTCACCTCACCCATGCCCGTAGCCAGGGGGAGGGGGGGTTCGGAAGAACACAAGGCTCAAAGGTCCACTTTTTGGTCCACTTTTTATGTAAAGGTCCACTTTGTGGTCCACTTTTTATGTAAAGATCCAAGATTTTTCTTGAAAAGACTGGAATTGTAGAAAAACTGCTCCCTTTGTCCTTGAATAAAAATTTATCTCTGATTTTTTCTTGGAAATCCTCTAAAAAATGCACGAAATGCCATTTTAGAAGGTTCATTTTTCAAAATTTCCCGGGGGAACATGCCCCCGGACCCCCCTAGAAACCTCGCGCTTACGGCGCTCAAGGTCCCCTCAAGCAGTGGGAAGAACACCCCCCCCCCCCACTTCAAAATCCTGGCTACGGGCATGTCACCTCACCTCACCTATCGTTGAGAGTCGTTGGGAGGCTCTAGCTTTCTTTAAAAAGCCTTCAAAGGGCTCAAAAAAACCTGCCCTTGCATTTTCGCCATGCCAGTCATGATTCCCCGTGCGAAACTTATTTAACACGCGTGCAGGAATTTTATTTTTTCTTTGCATACAAAGTGACTTTTTAAAAGCATACAGCAACCCAACTTCTAAAATAAACTGTGTCTCACCAGGCTAGCATGTGGCGAGCAAGTACAAGTAATTGCCTTATCAGCTGGCCTGGCTTACAGCTTGCCTTCTATATAAGATAAGAAACACGAGGGAAAAACAATATATTTCATCCATACCTATAGTATGGACTGAAATATAATTCTAACTCTGCGTAGCGGCAGAGTGCTCGACTCGGAACCAAGAGGTCCCGGGTTCGAGTCCTGACATGCCACCGATCTTGTGCCTTGAGAAAGGCACTTTACACGACTTTCCTCACTTCACTCAGGTGAAAATGAGTATTGTATTGTCCCCTGTGTTGGTGGCGACATTAATATAAGTTGAAAAAAACTTGAGTGTGCCGTCACTACGTCTTGTGATTAGATGTTGGAATATATTAAAAAAAGGAATCTAATTCTTGGTGTCAAGGTAATAATGATAGCTAGGAGCCAGGTTCGACCGGTAGTTCACTCACATTGCCTATCAAACAGGTGGCCTTCTTTGTCTTTTGTTTCTATTATTAGAGCTGATCGTAAAAAGACATAACAGTTTACGGTGATTAAGAAAGGTATTGAACCGTGGATAACAGAGCCGGTAAGCCATTTTACCGATCACTCAAGCAGAACCGCGTTATTATGAAACGGTATATCCGATTCCTAGTTCCGTGATCTCATTGCAATACGTTAAATACTTTAAGTCTTTAACCCTCCTATTGGTCACGATTAAACAGTGATACCATTGGTTGTTCAAGCGAAGCGTTTAACTACAAACGTTACGATTGGTTCACTAATTAACACCCTAGGTTTCAAAAACATGTTTATGCACCGTGCGGCAGAAACAACCCACATTCTGACCCCAGCGTCCCCGACAATTCTCCAGTTACCCTATACAATAATAAACTGTGGCAGATTAATGTTAGAGGTTCTTTTGTTTCCACCAACAAACCCCGGCGTTAGTTTCCTAAAGAAACAATTGTGTTTCGCGAGTCACTGACTGTATGGTCCGTTTTAGCTTACCGTTTGGCGCGTTGTGTTACTGTTGTGTGGCCGGCGTGCGTGTTATAGTGACTCCGGTAGGGAAAGAAACCAATGGATACATCATAACACAACTCCCAACATGGCGGGGTACACTCTTCCTCCGGAACTCCACCTGTACCTAGAATGAAGTCTTTAAGGAAAAGGACGACGTCTTACGACGTTGGAAGCACTTGAGATGACGCCCAGAGGATATTTAAAGTCTTCGACTCTAGGTAAGTGACCGAACCGACCCCGTACGTAAACACATTATGTGGAGTCAGTCACTATAAGTAAACAACAGTATATACGATAATGTAGAGTTAACGATGTAAAATTATCACTTATACGGCTTGATCCATTCTTCGTTATCACCATAAAGGTGGTATGACAGGCGCCTACTTTGTTGAAAGGATAAAAAGGAAGGGGTTTAAGGTAGCCTTTTTCCGGAAGAAGACAGCTGAAACTGTTACGACTCATGTACGACTAATACTAGACTAGTTTTTGATCTTACGACGATCGTAAGACCTTGCGACAGGACCCTTACGCATCAACTCGATGGTTACTAAAGAGTTTGTTGCTTTCTTACAAGTGTTCGTAAATATCTCACAGTTTTTAAGAAATTGCATGACCACAGTGTAGCCTAAAAAACGAATCGTGACTTCAAATTCTAGACAAACACTAGTACTACATGTACAGATTAACTATTAACGATAAAATATCTTCAGAAAGAACATATGTCAGGATAAAGAAATAAAGTACTGTTTCAATACATGATTAAATTCTATTGTACTCTCGTTGACAAATACATTGTTCGTGAAATCTGGGAAGTGCTACGTTGATGCCAGTCAATGATTCAATACTTTAGAATAACATCGTATCAGTGACACCTGTTCATGCTGCATTTCATTCAATTTTACATTTCCTCATTGTACGGCATTTTATGTACCCAAGAACCCCACCCTTTCTCATACATAGTGTTGTCTTTCTCATACTCAGGTCTCTGAGGAAACAAGGTCAAGGTTACTAGAGGTCATTGCAAATTCAAGGTCAAGTTCGTCCTCCTGTCCAACATGGCGGTTGCTCTCCCCATCCACCCCACCCAGTTCCCCGGCCTCCGGCGGAATTCCATAGAACTGCAGCGCGGGGCCCGGCCCACGTCCCTGGGCGAGTTCACTCACCAGACCCGGTCGCGGCGGAGCCCGCAGCCGCTGTCCCTGGCGCACATCTCGGAGATCGCGGAGGATGAGGAGGAGGCGGAGGAGGCGGCGATGCGGCCCAGGCTCCGCCGGTCCTTCTCCCGGCGCGGGCGGAGGAGCATCTCCGATCTTGTGGAGACCAGTCTGGTCCAGCAGCGGCACAGGAAGAGGAGTCAAGAGGGGATGGAACAGGTATAACGTCTTGTCATTCTTCTTTCATTTCGAGGCAACCGCCTTCAGCTACCTGAAGATTCTGCTGCCTTTTTGTAGTAATACAAGATGGGGTTCGCCAGGCCTCCATCCAGGAAAGTAGTGTTAAGTGCATGTCCCAAGAGCACAAGACCGACATATGACATGGCGCAGGGTTCGAACCCAGAACCTCTTGGTTCCGAGCCGAACGCTCTGCCATTACGCCAAACAACCCCACTGTCAGTTAGTTGATCAGTTTGTTGAGTGGGCCAGTTAGTTGGTTAGGTAGTTGGTTGGTCAGTCAGTCAGTTAGTAGATTAGTTATTAAAGGTCAGTCACTGTTTGTTATTAATCAGTATATGTTACTTCGCAGTAAAAACTGGAGTGTTCCAAGTACCAGAATTTTCTTTAAGATTTCAAAATAAGTATCAATATCAGACTCTCATCTGACCTAAAAAGAATCTTCGCAATTAACTATTCATTCATTCATTCATTCCTTTATTTCTCCTCTTTGGGAGAGCCATATGCATTAGAATACAAAGACATTACAATATAAAATGATAGTTTTCCTCATACAAACAAATGATTAAATAGAAGTGATGGATATCGTCTATTCTATAGTGTTCTGTCTATTTTTTATCTCATCTTCCTTCATTCATTCAGTCATCCATCCATCCATCCATCCATTCATCCATCCATCCATTCATTCATTCATTCATTCATTCGTTCATTCATTCACTCCTTCAGGACGCTGAGCTGCCCCCCACCTCTCCTGATGACGTCAGTCCCAGACGACGTTCCTCCGTGAGTGACGTGTTGTTCCGTCACATCTCCCCGGTCCCGGCCGGCGGCAGGAGGCGGCTGTCCATGGCCATACAGGAGCCCAGGGCCATATACAGGTGGGAGAGACGTGTCATGTCGGTACCGTGGCCCACAAGCACAACAAACTTACGTCACTTCTTCCTTACTCCAACAGCTTTATACCACGTAAAAATCATGACTGTAGCAAGTTTAGAACAGGAGATACAAAGCCCCGAAGGTCGGCTGCAGTACCAAAAAGAGCCCTTGGAGCAAATTGTGCACCGGCAAAAAACGCCCCTGCAGTTCCAACGCAAGCTGCTAGAGACACCAAATTTATATAACTTCTTTCTTACTTTAACAGCTTTCTACCACATAAAAATCATGACTGTAGCATGTTTAGAACAGGAGATACAAAGGCCGGAAGGTCTGCTGCAGTACCAAAAAGCCAAAAGTCAAATCAAGTGGCCCGCGTACTTTTTCAAAAGAGTAATGTCTCATGAGTATTTGTACTAAGTTTGGTGCTTGTATCACAATTTGAAAGATTCCTCCAAAATTTGATGTTATCTGCTCCACTAAAACGAAAAGTAACATTTGCAAAGGTAACATTTGCAAAACAAATATGTTTACCTTCGCATATGGTCAGCTCTGTTAATTCTTCAAACACATTCAAATATATGGTGACAGGAGTCTAAATCCCTCCTGCTATAAAATAGCAACATGATGTATCCCAACAGCAGTTACCATGGTGACAGACGTCTGGTTCAGGTCATTGAAATTATTTTTGGAGAAGAAGAGGAAACAGAGCAAAAACAATGTTTTCCTTCGGTAAACATAATAAAAGCACAATGCATGGAAAATGAGAGAAAAACTATTAGTAACTAGAAATGTAACATTTGCAAAGAACATGCAAAATATGTTTACCTTCTGTACCTATGGATGGTCCAGCTATAGCCCAGCAAACTACTGCATCACCAGTTACCATGGTGATAGCCGCCTGGCCTCTTTTTTATTGGGAGAAGAAAAATAAACAGTCTGAGAGCAAAAACGAAGGTAAACACAAGAAAGGTTTGTACTTCTAGGCCACGGTACAGAATTCTTGTATATTATAGAATTATTCTTCTCCTTGCCAGCCAACGTTTTGGTAATCCAGTCTGCTATTTTCTTAGCAAAATGATGACTAGCTGCATTTTCACCGCTGGGTGGCGCTGTGATGCGAAAACCTGCGGTCCCAAACGTGACTTAGTATGTTTACCTTAGAATATCAACCAACAGTTCGTACTTATATAAACCTGCTTTTCTCACAACTCTGTAGTGTCATTGATGAAATATATACCTGAAACGTCTGAACGCTTCCAAAATCAGATCCCGTTGCTTGAGTATTATCTGTAGATGCTCATTGGTCTGATTCAGTGTTCAGTAGCTATGGCGTCTTGGAATAACTTTAAAGCATGAAGTACATATCGGTACATAACTTCCACCATTCAGAACTCCTCAGCAAACTTTCTGGGATCTTAGGACACTCTGTTAACTTACACACTCTTTCAGATAGAGCGAAACAACTTTTAATTTTGAACGGTTCCCCGGTTTATTCTTTTCGAGTTAACTGTAACATTATGTCAACCGCCCAAAATTACATTTTAGCAACAAAACGTTTTTAATTCTATTTGTGTCCTTTTCATCTTTTGGGTGGGGAATGTGGACTCTCGCTTCATCAATTCGACTGTTTGTTCTTTTCTTTTACATGTATTCTTGGTTAGTGTTTTGTATTGTTTAGTAATATTAGTTTTATTCGCATAAGTGGCGGCGCTAACATAAGTTACCTAACTTGAGCCCGTCGTCACTTTGTACCCTTATTTTGTTTATTGTATGCTGAATCAAATAAAAAAAAAAAGGCTGAAGGCAACACAAGACAACGTGACACAGGGCCCGTACACGTACGCGTCTCCGCTTCAAAAACGCCCGCTGTTAAAGAATCTGATGTTAATCAAAATTGCTTCGCAACTGCATACAACTTGCTAAGAAAACTTTGTATTTGAAACAACGTAGGTAGCAAACACCTCGCCCTCGCCCTTTGTGTTTCGTCATTCTTAATCAATCAAAAGCTGCCCGCGCTCTTAAATTTCCCTGTCACTGTTGCTATGATAAACACTTGCGTGTGTGCTGAAAAATTTACTCTGTTTGTGCCACATGCATAGGGCCGTGTTTATGTGAAGTCACCCAAACCGCGATTCGGGTAACTCACATTCCTCACATCTGGTCCACGTGCCACACATTCCTTGCAAACCGTGTCCGATCACAATTCTCCGAAACTGCATTCATTGTTGTTTGATGAAAACTCGCGAGGTCAACGACCTGCTTGCTGGTGCCCCCCTTCCATCGTATCTCGGCCGAATGCCGACGTGGTCCCGCCAGAGGCGGTGAAGCTCGTCCTAGAACGGACACATTATTTGACCATTACTGCTCTTTAAGTTGCTGACACGTAAAATTTGGTATAGCATATCAATAAAGAAATATCACCCCGTAATCCATGACCAGGCGAAGTCACATTGAAATCACATTGCGTTCAGACGCAAATCGCGATGCGGGAAAACCGATTCGAAACCACCTCTAGAAGTGGCTTGGGCTCGAGGTGCTTTCAATGTGATTTCGGAGCGTTCACATGGAGCCACTTGAAACCGGCTTCGGGGTAAACCACATGTTAAGCGCCTTCACTGACTTCACATGAACACGGCCTATGTCGTATAGATCGAAATTCCGATAAGATACAAACACCTGCGTCCTTTACATATAACTGACGTACCCTTTGCGTGAGGACGTCTTTTAGGCTGTTTTTGGACTTTTGTTTCACTTGTGGCAACGAAAATCCTAGAATCGTAGCTCCTATAGTTACTGCTTCAAGTCTGAACCATCAGTTTTGTAAGCTTCTTTGGAATCTCCATGGCTTGAAACGGATGTTACCGCTGAATACTACGCGCCAGAGAACAAGTTGTTTCGAGGAGTGACCATGGATCAGCTAGCCGGTGTTGTCAGCGGTCTTCTGACCAGGGTTCGCGGCAGTAACAGGTGCGTTTCGTCGCTTGAAACTCTCGGTGAAACCGGCGCTAAAATTGTCTCACTGTGAAGAATTTTGTTTTGCATGGGGATCTCGCGATTTGTTGTTACGGCAGAATTGTGTGTTGAAGCCGGCGTTACACAGCAGTCAAATAGCGAGTCTGCGAGATTTGAAATGAACTTTTGGTAGCAGTATGGCCGGTATCTATCCTCCCAATCACTGCGCTATTTTTCTAAAATCTAAGAAAATCTTTTGGTTGCTACAAGACAGTATCAATTATGCAAATTGGCAAGGCAATATCAAATTGACAGGACAGTATCCAATGCGCCACTAGCTGGTGAAAAAAAAGCAAGCAGTACCAAAAAAAAAACGCCTGATAAAAACACCGAAAACACGTCAAATACACGCCGAAAGCTAAACCTCTGCTTAGAGAGTAATATTTTTTTAGACCTGCCGATATTCGCAGACCGATAACGAAGCCCTGTCCGATATAACAGGGTAGCATTTTAGGCGACAAATACAGAATAGAACTTTATTGCTCGACAATTGCACAAGGTACAATGTATGACAAACTACATAAAGAGAGTAGCAAACAATAAAATGTGTTGAACAAGACCTAATGTTGAATAAACCTAACATATCTTAATTATTCAAACAGTAAGGGCTAGCTGCCGCTAGCACAAGTCTTTGATAAAGTGTTACAATCGAGTGGGCTAATCACAAGTTTCTGTATTTTTTCTAATAACAAAGCATTCCTTTATATATCTACCTATTTTTGCGTTGTGGGGACCATTACATGTAAATATATATTCAAATCTGTCTCCAACATCGAGACTCTTGAAATCTATTGAAATATACATGTGTACACTCGACTTTCTGGTGATTTCGAAATTTCGGCTATGATGGCATTACGGAGGCAGGTGAAAATGGATAGGGCACACCTAAAATATTTTTTTCTTAATTCAATCTTCATAAACACATGCACAATTGTGATAGGAAACTGCGCGTATTAACTGTTTTCAAATATTTTTTCAAACTTTGTGACATTTCTTTGTTTAAACTTTGAAATATTTGTTTGTTTTTGTAAATCTAACACTATGCTACCGTACTATACTATTTTGTCCTCTTTCTTTCTTACTCTACGATATTCGTAATAAACTAGTCAACCCAAAATGTGTAAACAGCTGAAATTTTGCACAGAACAAAAACTCGGCTTCTTGACCTATATTCCAAAACATAAAAGTGTTTGTAAACCACGGAAAACTGACTTGACAACAACAAGTCAACCAAACAAACATGCATATACAAACACTCTGACCCGTGTCTTATGCACGGTATACATGTAGTGGCAAGCTAAGGGATGGCCCTATTGCTTTTATGCTAACTAAACAAATTAAAGACCTTTGCAATAGAGCTTTGGTCACATTTGCGAGGATATGTTTTACACTAAAAGAATCGTTTTAACCTTCAAATGCATAATTCTTCTGAACCTTACATTCTAGTATAACACTTGCGACCACCCCTGTACGAACGCAAGTGGACAATCCCTAAAAGGTCTTAGAAGGTCTGACGTTACAAAGTCTTGGAGAAATACCAGGCATAAGAAATGGACCGGGAAGACGTCTGGGTGGTCTGAAGTCTTCAAGGCTTCTTGTGATTGTGGTTTGCAACCTATATAGCTTCTGGATCAAAAGACAGAGAGTTCGAATCCAACTGCTGTTTCGTATCACCACCAGGATCGAGTGTGGCAGTCCATTGGACATTGTAATACGTGGCCTAGCCTGCTGTTCAAAACTTGTTAAAAACGCAGAGGACAATACGTGAAACTTGTACATACTATACGTTAGTACGTCGAATGTACTGATTGTGAGGCAGACACTGGTAAAACGCGTTCCTGTCAAGCTAGCTAAAACTGGATCTCAGATACCTTCCTGTCACGTAAGTTTCCCGCGCAAAGTTTGCAGACGACATCATGACACAGAAGTTGCACAAGCGGGGGAGGAGAATGTCGCTGGAACCGCGAATGTGCAGGTGGGCAGAGACAGAATTAACTCTCAGTCTGCTAATTTAATTAGCCTGAGTGTGGCGTGGAGCGGACCTTGGGTAGCGGACGAAAGCTAACAAGGCTGACACTCAGGCTATAATTTAATAGGAGCAATTCGGCATGCACCAAATTTATATTTGTTATCGCGTTGGGTAGCAAGAAGAAGGTTAACATAACCCTTTACTATGAATTGTCCACATTTGAATTCGTCGTAGATTTCTCTTTTCGTTGTAAGATTTTTAGTACGATAGAACCAACAGGTCACAAGGATCCTCGACAACCTTTTCCCGTTACAAGATCTTTGTACGACATATCCGCGACGGTTCCAAGAATATTTGACAATGATTCCCAAACCATCTCATGGAAAGGCTAGCTCCCAAATAGGGCATGAAGTACTTCCAACGCGTATCTTCTTGAACATTAGGACAAGTCACCCACTTTTCAGTACTAGACTAAGTGTAGTCTCTACCAGACTAACTACGCTGGCTATATATACTGGAGAATATTTGCCAGGGGAGTTTGGCCGCCTTGTAGGTTTGACTGGCCGCGCAGTTAGCAGGGAAAGAAACTACCTCCCCGCGACCGGACTCCCTTGGCCAATTTTACTCTTTTTTTGCCGAATTCTACGATCCGTATTCCCGTAGAAAGGCCTGGTGGAGGCTAGTACTAGCCAGCAACTGTCGCTTCTACTCCGAGTTTTAAATATCTCCGCAAAATTATTTTTCTCAGGCCCATACGTTTTTTAGCTGCAGCCTGAAGGAGAGTAGACTGTCATTGTGTCTGCCTGTGTGTCTATCTGTCTATGTGGTCTATGAGAGTGTTTCTGTCTAGCCTGGTATCCAGTCTTACGTGGTTGGGAGTATTGGGGTGTTCAGGCAGGTTGTGTCTTCGGGGGCTCTAATAGCTTCCCCCGCCCAGTGCAACAGACCGTCCCGGTAGGAGAGTTACGCTAATAAGAGACAGTATGCTTGGGGATTTGTTTTTTATTTTATTTATTGAAACAGCAAAGTACAAGACATGGTACAAGACACAGAGGTGGAAACTCTAGCCGAAGCTAATATCAATCACACCCCTGACATAGAATACAAAATACAGGTATGACAATGACAAAACAACAAATGAGCGTTCGTATATACAAGACTAACGGCAATATAAATCATTAGGCAACTGTAAATCGTTGGGTATTCAGTATAAAGGTTTGAGTAAGAATCAGAATTTTTTTGTTAACATCAAGACGTAAAAGGGGCGAACCCCTCAGTAAAAGATTAATACTGGCTTGGTCAGACAAGTTGCGCAAGTCAAAATTTGGTTTGGGATTTAGTTCGTGAAGGGCTAATCAATCTCTCGTGAAATACACACCGGGAAACCTATGTGAGGCGGGCGGGACAGAGCTCTTTCGGCCCCGACCACGATCAGACTGGATACCGCTAGTTTCTGTCCTACATAAGGTCAAGAAGGTAGGCGTCCGCCATTCGAAACAGCTTGTTTTTAACGTTCTCTATGATTGATAACCACATATATGTTTAAGGGATTTAACGCTTTCACAGGGAGTTCTTCAAACGTGCTGGCTGGATCATACTTTGTCTTGCAAAACATAATATTGACCGACAAAATGACGTATACATGGAGTCATAAACTTATAAAATGTCTAGGTTGTCGGCACTGTGAACACACTGCGACGTGATCAATCCTTGATCCAACCTCCTTTCCCAAATCCCTCTCTAAATCAAGCTAAGAAAAGCACAGTTATCAATCTAAGAAGTACATAATACCCGTACAGACAGCCCCAGTGTTGGGCCAGGTGTGTTGTATATCACTCAGGGCAGGGCATTGTTGTTTTGCTTACAATCAATCGTGTTGCTGGTCAATTCCAGATGGCGGCAAGTGTTAACATTGTTCTACCGTAACTCCCTTTAATAGCCTTCTTGCTTGGGGGGAGAGCCGTTCCTCAAGGGCGAAGGGGGGGGGGTGGCTTGTTCGTTTTCTAGAACTCCTAATGCAAGGAAAATCATTAAAAATCTGAGAAAAAAGTCATTGAAATATATATTTTAGTTCTACCGTAACTCTCTTTAATAGCCCCTTTTTTTTTGGGGGGGGGAGATCCGTTCTTCAAGGGCGAAGAGGGGGTGGCTTGTTTTTTTCGAGAACTTTTAATACAAGGAAAATTATTAAAATTCAGAGAAAAGTCATTGAAATATATATATACATTCTTTCTTGTATGACCTTATGCACAGAAAAACAAAGAAGCAAGAACTCTATGTCACCCAAAAATCATGACTATAACAAGTTGACAACATAAAGAATATAACTTTTTTAATGTATAACGAAAACGGGAGTTCTGCTGCATTACCACAGGAATCCGTCAGGGGGCCTATAATTAAACTTGACCTTCGTCTTACCAAGACCAACCCTCCTACCAAATATAATACAAATGTATCCATTAAGTTTATACTCGAGTTATGCTGCCCGCAAGCAAACCTTTTTAGAACACCTTTCGGCAGCATGCTACAGTATTGAGTAAAGTTATAAAGAGCGCCCTCACGCGGTTTGTAAATGTACCGCACCGCCTTTTGACGCCATACGCACTACTGTGTGTGCTTTTCAAATTTGTACATAGAGCTAGCAAATGTTGAACCAACTACACGCGGCTTACAGTCTGAAAAATTGATGAACAGCTGATGATTGTGCTCATGGAGACAAGTCGGGTTTCTTACCTGAGGGTTAAAACACAAGAGTTCCTTAAAGATTACTATGAAGAAAGTCAGGTGAGTTTGAAGGAGATAGATGGGAGAGGGGAAATTCTTAAAGGGGTTGTGGAAGAAGGAGGGGGTTGTGGTTCAAATGACATACACTAACAGATGACTGTATCGGGCATGTCAGATAGTGGTTTCCAGGGTAGATTTAAAGACAGGTGTGTTTGTGGGGGGAGGGGGGTATATGGAGGTGTATTAGTTGCCTTCTATACTTCTATACTATAATATCGTTGGGTTGTACTATCAATGTGGACACGTTTTAGGCATCCAATGCGATTTCAGGGCAGCAAAACTGGAAATACTCTGAATAAGGCAATCTTTGTGATATTGACACATACTGCTTCACATTGGCCCATTTGAGTCAGCATTTGGTCAGAATTTTGGGAATTTTTGCTCCACGAGGACCAAATATACATTGGGATAGTGTAGTTTCATCTTAGTATGTTTATAATTGACTAGAATATTGGCTCTGAAAAATCGGGTTTCCAAGCCCTAAAAACTGCACTGGATGCCTTTAAAACTCGCTGCTATCTGTGTGCACGTTATCTGCTAGTTACGGCCTTACGGCAGGGCTAGGCATAGGGTTTTCCGAGTCAGCACACTCAAGCTTCTGTCTCACCTTGCTTACGTTTCAATGTCTATTAGACACCTTCCCCAGAGCTTCTGATCATGACTGGAGTTCTGCTTCTCGTCGTATGTAGGCAAGGTATAAGACACTATCTGGTTGTGCAGAAGAAAATCCCGATATCCTATGTTCTACCAACAGTGAACCTGATCAAATTATTTTCGTAAGGATTCGATGTACTATCGGTCACCCTGACCTGCATGGCTGACGTATCTCCTCTACCATCTGAAGTGCGCTCTCCGGTCATTTTTATTGGGCTTAATCCAGAAAGGGATCAGTTTTCAATCGATAACAGTCGCCTCCCCTTAGATATACCAGAATTCGATACAGTTGACGTACGTTTTCAAAAATTCCTACTTGGAGGCGATTCAAAATCATCTAACGACGGAGTGCGAGGAGAGTTAGGAACTTTCCCCATCCTGATATCTGCTAAATTCAGCTCATTTAGATGCTGTCATCTGAGGATTCTCTGCTTCACGATGCATACAAAACTGTATTTACTGATGACCATGACTGAATTAAACATTTTAAAGACAATTACTAGCCGTTGCCATATCTTGTACAATTGCCGTGCAGTAAAGTTCGACTTCTTCTTCAAAACGTCCCATTGATCTCAACAGCCTTGAAACTATTGAGGAAATTTAGTCCAGAAACTGCATGAAACGATGACGGTGATGGTTAGTAGTATCATGGAGGCAGCGCTAGGGGAGTGTGTTCATGTGTTTGTTTCTTTATTTATTTACATATCTATTATCTATTTTCCCAAGGTAAACAGCCTGGAGAAGAACCCGTTGGACCGTGGCCCCCGGCAGCAGCGCTCGGGGAGTGTGTTTTCTTGTTTGTTTGTTTGTTTGTTTGTTTATTTACATGTTTATCATGTATTTTCCCAGGGTAAACAGCCTGGAGAAGAACCCGCTGGACCGTGCTCCCCGGCAGCAGCGCTCGGGGAGTGCGTTTTCTTGTTTGTTTGTTTGTTTGTTTGTTTATTTACATGTTTATTATATTTCCCCAGGGTAAACAGCCTGGAGAAGAACCCGCTGGACCGTGGCCCCCGGCAGCAGCGCTCGGGGAGTGTGTTCGTGTCGGGCGGCAGGAGGATGTCCATGTTCCGCGCCTTCACCTTCAACAAACCCGACCCCGAGGAGGAACGGCAGAAAAACATACGGCCTGGGTTCAAGGTCAGTTTACCAGGCCTATCTCTTCTAGTCTCCACGGAGATGTTGGGCTGGAATATTGCAACATTTTCTGACGGTCAACTGAGTGCCAAGTCTCTCTGAATGACGAAAACGTCAGTGACAGTTTTTAAAATAACTAGCAACACTTCCTTTCTATCTCATTACCTGGCATGGATGTCTAACCTTCACCGACCGACCAATGATGTAGCTTGTGTTTCGTAATAAAGGGTTAATGCCCCACCACGAGATGTATATGGTGAGATAATCCCTGGTCAGGTGCGACCAGGGATTATCTCACCGAATAAACCAACGAGTGAGCGTAGCGTCCTGTTCACCAAGAATTATTCCACCATGTACACCGAGGATAAGACGGGGCATTAGCATCATTATCATTATCATTATTATCAAATTCATAATACCAGCTTTATATTACTGTCGTTTAGCAGCATTTTTTTCTGGCTGCATGTCCCCAGTTAAGTTTAATATTTACCCCGAACCCCGTACGGTATTTGTCAGTAGTTTATGAATAAGTAATAATCCCCGTTAAGTCCGTCACGACGTGAGAGATTTGTCGGCTTGAGCCCGTGTTTGTCCGTCTTTCTTTACCGCCCTGTCACGCTACATGTGCCGGCGTCACGCGCCACTACTCCCCGCACACGAACCCACCCTGCCATGACCTGGGTTAACGGCAGGGTAAACTAGCCTAGGTATCAGGCTTCACGGCAGGTGTTTTAACAGAAGAAGAACTTTATTGCGCAACAGATGTAGCGGGTACAACGTATGGCAAAATATACATACATAGTTTGTGGTGTTAACATACACATATGGTGGTGTTGAGAACATCTAACAGTTCTACTAACTGTACTATAGGAATCTGGTCTGCTTCATAAACAATGTATAACAAACGAGAGACACTAATTATACTAATCTAACTCTATTAATACAATGTAGTAATAAATTGTGTCAGGAATTGATTACGTTTTCTCGTTTTGTCATTGAATTGTGTACAAATTGGCCTACATAAGTGGAAATGTTGACAGGGCATGATAGTAACATATAGAATATCTCTGTCTCTGTATGGGGTAGTGTTATATTGGTCTTACATGTAATATGTTGTAACAATTTTCGTCTAACATCGACGAATTTATCAGCTGATAATTTACATTTTTCTGATAAATTGAGAATGTTGTTGAATTGGAGAAAACTAACACACGGTAGCA